AAGTGTTGTACGACGGCACCCCGCGTTCGGTTCGCGTTCGGGTCGGGGTGGTCGTTCGGGAGTTATCCCAGTGCCCTGCCTGGTGCGAGATTCCGTTCGAATCCTTTTCTCAGAGTTTGCCCCCCTGTAAAATTTTGCAGGTCTTTGACCCCAAGTTCAGTAGCTTCTGCTTGTTGACATTTTCCTGTTCGCTCGCACCGTGTAATTTTATTTGGAGATGTTTTGAATGAAAAAGTGCTTTGTTGCTTTTATTTTGAAGAGAAAACATTCATTATTTTTAGTTTTTGATTCAGCTTATCCAATATGGAGGTTAGCAGAGCTCAATAATCTCAGTCAGAAAACCACCTTGTCTGTTCAAGGCAGATCTTCTAACCCGTTTTCTCACACTTTTCTTCACCCGTTTTTATGTTTCAAGTTGACTTTGATTCATTCGTTTCACGGTTGGAATTTTTCTTTCTCTTCTTTCAGGGCCGGAAGAAGAAAAGCTGCTTGGGTCTATTCTGCTTCCCTCATACACTATATCACCATGCACACCTCAAGTCGATCGAGTCTACAGGAAGTTCAGCTTCAAAGCAGAACACGCGAACATGCGGACGTACTACTTTGCCGCTGACACCAATGAAATTATGCTGCAATGGATGCATTGCATGAGCCTCGCTTCTGTCTTGCAGGATCGACCTACTAGGTGAGTTAATTTTTATGTTGCCTTGCTCTTGCCTTTCATTTTGACGTGGTAGCATTGCTAAGCTTGAAACACAAACTCTTCTGTGCTGCTATCAGAGAGGAATCTTATCAAATTGATTATGATACTATACACTGGTATGTATAATCTGTTCAGATAAAACTGTCCAGTGTTAGTCTACCCTATTCTTGTCAAACTATTTAATACCTTAACTAATTTTTTCAATTGTTTTTTCCAGCTATGAGGATCCCCGTGTGATCACTCAGCAGCCAACTAATGCTCAACACAGTCCCGGTGATGAAAGTGAGGCTGGATTTGGCTCGTATCGACCAAGGTTAGCAGTTTCTGGAAGCATGAATGGATGGCAGAGCCCCCTTCTGCAGCAACAGCAGCAGCAACAGCAGCAACAACAGCAACTAAATGCTCTTGATGATCGTAGCTTTCACCATCACCTGTACGCCAATGCACCCCCCAAGCCACGGCGCCTTGCTAATGAGGACATGGGCTCCTCCAGCGAACAGTCACCAGAACATCATCAGAACCTAGGAGCGCAGCCTCAGCAACCCCCTAGACTCATGCAGTCCAACTATCAGTTCAACCCAGCTGCAATGCCGCAAGTCCAATCGCGCCTTGTCATGTCCCCTAACAATGCAGAACGACGGACTCCTGACACTTACAGCCGCCCTGCAGGATCCATGCAGGCTGCTCTAAACAATAAAATGAAGCCAACTGATTATGAAGATATTTATAACAGTGAACGAAGGCAGATGGAAAGCCAGTCATGGGCTAGTAAGTTTGGACAGCAGGCCTATCTTCAAACTACTGGTCAGAGTGCAACTATTATTACCAAAGGCTATGAAGCAACTTACAATTCACGCCCTGATGAGAAGCAGCAACTAACACCTCTTGCTCAGAGTCCTCGAAAACAACCACCAAGGCCCCACAGTGCCGATTTCCTTGACTATGATGCTCGCAGGTACATACTAAAGCCATAATATAATTTTCACAAACAATTTTTCTCTGCTTCTAAAAAATTTGAACCCTTTCTTTTATTCTTTTAATTTGTTTATTTTGCAGACATGAGGATGGCATGGATATCACCAAAAGTCCAGAACCACAAGTAAGAGGGTCCAGATCTCAGCTTAATTCGCAACCCCCACGTCCAAAGTCAAGTCTTGATATCATGCGTGATCCTGACAATCTGTACTGGTCAGAAGAAGGTTATGCCCAGAAAATGCGCCAATCAGCTTACCTTCTCCAGCAGGGCCCTGGTGGTGCTCTCCCTAACCAGCAACCCCCCACCCGTAGTAATTTCCCATCCTTTTCAAACATGCTCCAATCCCAAAGCTCCTCTAGAGTCGCTGAGCTTGCTGCTAATCGAGTTCTCTCCCCCTCTGCTGAACTTTTAAGGGTAATTAGAAATAAAACTTGATTCTCTTGAGTAATAAGAGAGGAGTTCCCTACCCCATCGTCTGAAACAATTATCAATTGATTAAAAACCACTTTTAATAATAACACATTTCATTCTATGTTTCATAGGAGAGTGAACAGCAGCACATTTTGAACATGCAGCGAAGACAACAGCAACTTCTTGAGGAGCAAAAGATTTTGCAGCAGCAGCTAGAGTATCAAAAACAGCAGAGCCAGCAGGAACAGCTTCAAAGGCAGCAGATTGAGGAGGAAGAGGAGCGGCAGCTTCTGTCCTACTATTCCGAGATGCAGACACCAATGACACAACAGCCTTTCACACGCTCAGCCAGTGCTCGCCTTCCGCGTCACAAATATGACACTGAGAGAGATGATGATGAAGAAGGATTCAAACAGAGGAGAAACAGTGGAAGTGGCAGTGGACTGTATTCTCACAGGCGATCAGGCGCTGAGTATGGGAGTCAAAAGTTTCAACAGGTTTGTAACATTAATCAGTAGCTTTAAAAATATTAGAAAAATATGAAATTGGATTTGTCTGTGTCTTACGGTGTAGAGAGTGAGTTGCAAATGTTTACTTGTTAACAGTACTCTGCTTTAAGCACCACACCAGACTTATCTACCCCCTCCCCCCTAGAGGCGACTACACCAGTTCGTATTCCTCTAGTGGAAACTCATGTGTTATCCACATTTTGTGTAACATTAAAGTTATTAACAATTTGTCTTTTATGTCCTTCAGCGTGAGGAGTCAATGAAGCGTCTGCTGGAATGGAAGCAACGTATGTTGCAGTCTCCTCTAGCAAGGAAGCCCTCTGGTTCTGCAACAAGAGGTGTAAATTCTGCACAAAATCAACTTTCTAATTATTACAAGCAGCAAGCACTACGTGAACTTGCTGATCAAGAGCGTAGGGCGCAGGGCTTGTCAAGGCACCTCAGTCAAGATGCACTTCATGATGGGCCATACAGGTTTGTAGTCTAATGTGGTTTTTAAATGTGATTTGCTATGTTACATGTATATTAATAT